AGTGGAGCATTTGCAAGTCGTTCCTGAATTCGAGTCTTAATGAGTGGAAGTTCACGAATTAACGAGTCCATCCAAATAATTACATTTGTGGTCATTGGTTAGACTCTCCGAGTCCCAAGCCTTTCAGAGTAGGGTTCCCACTGCTAGAGTCTGTTGACATGGGGAAAGCGGTTCAGACTCTGGGGTAATTGATATTGAATCAGAGCAAACCTGAAGAATGACGAAATGCTGGACTACTGTACTAATAGTACTCTGTTCTTCGACCAGAGTAAGCCATTGACGTGTGACGAACTGACGGTGAGAGAGAGAACGCTAATGTAGGGGCTTTAGCGGGGAGAACATTTTGTGTCGCTTCGACATCCGAGGAGTAAGAATCAAGTGACCTTGCATGGACTTGCCTAGAGATTATTTTCTGTTTGTTTCGGTTTAATCACAGATAGTCTAGCCTAATCATGGTGACTCTAGTGATTCTTGGCAGATCCCATATATCTATGACATAACCTTGGCCTCCGAGCACTTTATTCCCCTTGCTTTCATTGGAGAGGCGTTTTTTGAGCTTTTCCAATGGAATGGTTACTGACGAGGGTGTATACTGAGCATGAACTGTGATATGTTAAAGAGCACACTGATACAATGCGTCATATCAAATGAAATCATGAAGAAAAATTCTCACTCCTCGAGGTCTCTGTCTTATTGTGTACGTGGGAGCCCTGACCCCTGGGATATACTACAGTAGAGGATCAGCTTTGGGGCCGGGGGAAGCAACCCTGGGAGAGTCGAGACTCGAGCCTCCAGACTCCATCCATCATTGGCCTCATCTTCCCATATTTTTCTCCAATTTCTAGTGAATGACAATAATAATGAAATAAAAGCAGCCGAGACTCGAGAAAAGAGGCGTAGAAACAAGATTTTTCTTGCCGTCCAACGCGAACGCGAACGAGGACAAGGAAAACAAGAACCCCGCTCGATGGGCACGAAAAAGTGCCGATCACGACACTAGCCCAGGTCAACTGTGGGAATTTCCAACTCATTGTCTAGTCTGGATACTCGTATTGGGGGATGAATTTCGTTATTCATTCATTTTCCCTCAAAAGACGCATACATTCTGACTTCTTCATGGCACCACATCACATGTTACCGAGATACACCTCGAGCTGTCTTCCTTTGACCTCGTAGCACCTAACATTGCAGTTCGACGGCGCTCTTCGTCCTACTTTCCCTTCCTACATCGACCGAATGAACCCCACACTTGAGCTGGGACACAAGAGGGTCTCCAGACTACCGACTTCCAGTTCCAAACTTCGAGCGGAGGCTACGAGTCTTTCCGGCGACGGTTCCCCATGGGCATGTTCCGTTCTCCGCAAAATGAGAACTATGACTATGGAGTACGAGAAAGTGAGAAATCGCATTTGGCTCACTCACCCAGGAGAAAGAATATTGCCCAATGTTCGAATGCGCCTGTCCATGGTGCTATCATGGTCGAACTCCCACTAACACAGACTAGTGCCCACACTCCCGCCGGGTGTTATCTCCTGGCTCCTGCAAATATTGCTCTTCTGTCCAGGCTGCCAGAGACAATGGCAGTTCGTCTGTTCAGACGCGTGGGCTGCTCACTCAAAATTCTCCTCTGCAATTCAATGGGCTCAACCGCTCACGCTCCCTACTATTCCGTGATCACAAAGCAAGGCAATAATGACCGTCAAGTGCTCCCTTTGCTCAAGCTGTCGAATTGTCCGTGCCGATCACCGAGGTAGATGGAGCCCGAAAGCCAGACCCCAACTCCTCAAGTGATCCCATCTTAGACTAAGACGAGACTAAAGTGCCACTCGCAATTTCCCGTGCCTCTAATTTGCTCCCCCCGCAGGGCTAAGAGCCCCTAAAAGACCAATTAGTCTAGCATTGCGGTCTGGGGTGAACGGCTGATTCCGACTAAGCAGAGCTTAGGCTACAGCTCAGCGCCGCTACAGTCACCGTTTACCATCCCATGCTGCTGCGGTGCTGTACTAACATAGTACTACAGGAGCTATCTACGTACCATGCTCCACAGCGTTCTACCGTCTTCGGCTCAAAAGATGGAAGAAAACAGATGACATACACCAATGATAGACAAGCTATGCTTTCCCAGTACGCTCGAAAAGGGTACTATCTCCGTTGCACGACCAAATCCCCCTGCCACTGACATCAGTAGTCTGGTCAATGGAAGGAGGAAACCCCCAACATCAGTTAGTTCACATGTGGAGATCAGACAATAGCCCTCGGTCAGTTTCTAGTTTCCCCAGCAGTAGCTGGACCTTGTGGAGAGAGTGGTTAGTAGTAGCAGATCTTTTCCGCGCAGCTGCAGACATAAAAGGAGCCTGTCCAGTCTTGGGAGATCTCGGCTCTACCTCTCTCCCAGACGTCGATTGCTGGCCATTCCCCTGTAAAAGAGCGTTGACCCAGCATGCGTTTCTCAACAGTCCTCTCAGCTCTTTTGCTATCCAGCACCGCGCTCGCAACTCCCGCGCAGGTGTCCTCACCAGTCGGTGCTTCATCACAGGGGAGTGTAGCAGAGGAGCAGTCGGTAGCGCAGACAACACCAGTAGCCGAGGCCACTCCGGTTGCGCAACAAAGTCCGAGCCCCAACCAGCAGAATGCCAACGCTGCCAACCAGGAGCAGAGCGCCAACGTCAACACCCAAGCAGCAGCAGCTCCCCCAACCAGCTCCAGCCCTCAGCCCACTGAGAATGCTGAACCCTCGCCCAGCCCGGCTGCCAGTCAGAAGGACGGCAACCCGCTGAATATCCTATCCAACCTGGTTCCAACGAACACTGCTGGTGAGCAAACCCAAAGTGTCTCTACAGCCACTCCAACCCCTGCCTCTGCGGAGAGCTCCTCTAACTCTGAGACCGCCACAAATGCAGCTGCGCCAACCGCTGCCGGTAGTACTGGTTCAGGCTCATCGTCTGGAGGTGCGTCGGACGGGTTTTCCGGAAACATCTTCCAAGATCTGCAGAATCTGTTACAAGGCGTTTCGGGCCTCCTGTCTCCCACCTTGCTGAAGGATATCGAATCCTTCTTCCACCACTTCGCATACCTGTTTGACGACAAGACCACCGACCAGACCAAGTCTTTGATCGATACCGGATACAACCTCCTCACTCCTGAGCTGACCAAGGAAGTGCTGGGTCTCTTGAGTAACGCCAACGCCTTGCTCACGCCAAGCTTCGTGAATGAGACTCAAGAACTGATCGGCGCAGTCGGCCCGCTACTTACGCCTCAACTGTTCAAGCAGATCTCGACCCTGCTGAACAATGGCAACAACCTGCTGACCGCTGACTTCGTCAAGGAAGTCAACGGTTTGATTGGCAATGCCAACACTTTGTTGACTCCCGACTTCGTCAAGGAGACTCGCGCCCTTATTGAGGCTGTTGGTCCTCTGTTGACGCCTGAACTATTCAAGCAGATCTCATCTCTGCTGAACAACGGCAACAGCCTGCTGACTGCGGACTTTGTCAAGGAGGTCAATGGACTGATTGGCAATGCCAACACTTTGTTGACAGCCGATTTTGTCAAGGAGACTCGCGGCCTCATTGAAGCTGTTGCTCCCGTTTTGACACCCGAACTGTTCAAGCAGATTGGCACTCTCCTAATCAACGCCAACACTCTGCTGACTTCAGACTTTGTCAAGGAGGTCAAGCAGCTCATCAACGCTGTTGGTCCTCTGCTGTCGCCTGATCTATTCAAGCAGATCAGCGGTCTGCTGAACAACGCCAACGACCTGTTGACTCCGGACTTCGTCAAGGAAACCAGAAGCCTGGTCGGCGGTATTGCTCCTGTGCTGACACCCGGTGTGCTCGCCGAGGTTGGCGCTTTGTTGAGCAACGCCAACGATCTCCTCACGCCGACCTTCGTCAACGAAACCCAGGGCCTGATTGGTGCTGTGGCGCCTAACATCACTCCACAACTCTTCAAGGAGATCGGCAGCTTGCTGAACAACGCCAACTCCTTGTTGTCCACCGACGGCTTGCACGAGATCCAAGGCCTGCTGAGCAACGCCAACGATCTGTTGACACCCGACTTCGTCAAGGAGACAAAGAACCTGATCGGCGATGTCTCGCCCGTCATCACGCCCGAGCTGCTTGGACAAGTTGGAGGCCTCCTGAACAATGCCAACAACCTGCTCACACCCAAGTTCGTCAACGAGACACAAGACTTGATCTACGAGGTCGCTCCCGTCATCACACCCGAGCTTCTAGCTGAAGTCGGCGGTTTGCTGAACAACGCCAACAAGCTCCTCACCACCAAGTTCGTCGAGGAAACTCAGCACCTGATCGACAGCGTGGGACCGGCCCTGACCCCGGCGCTATTCACCAATGTCACCTACGTCCTGGGCAACGCCACCCAGCTGCTGACGCCCAAGTTCGTTAACGAGACGAGAGACCTGATTGATGGAGTCTCCCCTGTCATCACACCCGACCTGCTTGCAGAAGTCGGCGGTCTCCTCAACAACGCCAATGACCTTCTCACCAGGAAATTCGTGAATGAGACACAGATCCTGATCGAGGATGCATCTGAGGTATGTTCCCTAACCCTTAAGACCACAAGCAATATCGCTGACATATACCTAGTTGCTCCCCGTCTTGGTGAAGGTCTTGGGCACGTTGTAAGAGACTTGAGCCGCCATGCATAAGGGCCTATGATTAATGGACACGAATTTATTTTCTTTTCTTTTTGATACATATGGGAGGTAATCACGCGCTTCATGTTTAATGATATTCATGTTGAAGACTGTTATGTGCCGTGCCATACAGGTCGAGTGGGTTGATCTCTTTATAATGCATCCATAGCCCACAGGAAATCCAAGGTTCATGTCAAGACTAGATTATGATTCTGTCATGACACTATCGAAGCAATAGTATGCAAGCTCGCTGAAGATCTGAGTCGAGATTGCAGCCTCATCTAGTAAGAGGCAACGACTTCTCGTAGACTCGGTGCCGTGCATCTGCGACGTGAGAAGCTCTCTATTTGCCCATGAGGCCGCGCTTCAAGTTCCGGGCAGTTGTCCGTAGGCCCTGTCTGGCAGTTTTGGCGCCTTCGAAGCCAATTGCAGCGCATATAGTTGTGACTGCCACCAGTTTCTGTAGAGTCCGGAGTGCCGTACCACTCTGAGCGGCTCGACGACTGTATCCTCTCTCCAACAGCCGCCCAAGGGAACCGCGAAGCGCTAAGCAGAAGCCAGCCGAGCACTCTTGGTCATCAATGCGTCTTTAGACGTCAAAAACCAATCTCACACCAAGCCAATCCAACAATTCAACCCAAGGCTCAAGACGGAATATCCAGGCCCCTAACCTTCTGATACTTGGATAGCACCTTCATCTCCGTATCCCGCTCCTTGACCTTCTTATCCATGGCCTTTTGCACCTCCTCGCGCTTCTTCTCCGCCTCCTCGATCTTCCGCTTTGCTTCCTTGGCTACTTGCTCCTGCGCTTTCAGCGCAGCGCTAGGGGATGTGTATTCCGCTCGGAGGTGGTCAAGTTGAGTCCGGACAGAGTCAGATTCCAGATCGATGGGTGTGCAGGTGACTGGGTCGTACTGGTGTGGTTTTAGGGGCGAGCTTGGGACGCGGATATCGGGGAGGGATGGATGAATGGGGTTTGTGCGGAGGGGGGAGTCGAGCGGGACTGGTGCGTTTGAGGGGAGGTTTGCTGTTGAGATTGGTTCGGGCTCTGCCGGAGGTGAGAGAGGCGGCTGGTCCATTTTGGAGGTTGGAGGGGGAGGAGCTTTGGATAGCTGTGTGTGTGATGAGGAGTACTGATCTATTGCTGAACATTTGTCGATGCGGGTCGGTAGCGGTGGGATTCTGCCGGTTGAATGGTGGCTGACCGCCTGATTGCGGTGCGGAGGTGACAGCGGAATTGTAGGAGACTGAAGTTAAGGGGACCAAGACAGAATCGGACACTCCATCATTTCGGTTAAATGAGAAGGTAAAGAAAGGGCGCTCGCGACTGGCTTTGAAGCCTTGCCCACTATGCAGGCTTTTGGTATGCGATCACTCCACTCGCTGGACGCTGTGCTGCGCTGCGCCAGATGACCTCATGGTCGGTACAACTTGAAGCTGATTCCACATACTGTAGTTCCGAAAAATAGGAGGGTAAGTGCTTTGTCTAGGAGGAGCGGGCAATGCTGAACCCTAATCTAGCCTAGATTTGAATTTATATTGAGAGTAAGTCTGGCCGGTCTCGCATATCATAGATTCTCACTAACCGAGATCGTCACTCAGATCATCGATCTAAACAATGTACCACTCGTGAGTGGAACGGCGTTCGTTAAATGGCGTTTGCCGTCGTCGAGTACGACCGAGCATCATGGACATACGGACAAAGCGATCATCATTGATCATCGAGCGTACTGGAACTACGAGAAGACCCTGCAGGTCAGGCTTACGATTGATCGAAATCAGACACTCCATGAATGCGAACTCGTCTTAGACATCATACAAGAGTTTGGGTCTGGGGGACACGGCGACAAGAATCTTTTAGGAAGGATCAGGCTCAATCTTGCCGAGTATGTCGACAAGAGCGATGACGAGGAAGGCATTGTGAGGAGGTACCTGATGCAGGATAGTAAGGTCAACAGCACGCTCAGGGTTGGGATTGTGATGCGCCAGATTGATGGCGATCGAAATTTCACCACGTATGCTTTATTATCACTAATCATAACCAGTCTGGTACTGATTGCTAGCAGTCCCCCCCTAAGGTCCGCCGCGGTTTTCGCAGGCATTGCGGGTGTGGTCTCCTCAGAACAAGCTGATCATGATGATCTTGGCCGGCTTCCGTCCATCAACACGCAGAGTAGAGAGGTTGCTGATATGCAGGACATGTACCGCCGCACTCTTGCTGCTTCATGGCTGTCTGGCACAGATGACATCCCCGCGGATAAGTTAATCGAGGACCTCTTCGCCACGGGTTCTTGCGGGAACGACGAACATCCTGATGCTCGCTCTCGGAGAACGGCGGATAATAATAACGAGCTTCATCCTGATAGGGATACAGATACAAGGCAAACCAGATCAGGGAACCGATTGTCCCCAAGTTTCGAGAGGCGACCAAAGAGCTCATCTAGCCAATTCCGCAACGAAAGCAAAGGGTCTGACTCGTCCGGACACATCAGGAAAGGTGGCAGTATTCAAGAGCAGCTCCACGACAGTGCAAATGGCAAGACCTGGAAAAGCCGTAGTGAAGTGAATGAATTATCCGAATTTGATGTACGAGAGGACCTGCGGAGCTGGGAGGTGTCTGTAAAGGAATAATCCCATAGGGCTCATACTCTTTTCTTTTGTTCCCTTCATTTTTACCTTTGACGCTTTTATTATACTTTACTTACTCTGATTATTTGTTGAAACGATAAGGACTGAGTATCTTCAGTCAGACATTCATTCTTGTGGCCTAAGGCACATGTCATAGTGATCAACCTTCCGCTTCCAGCCTAGCGTATCTTGACCGATAAGATTGCATGCAAAGCTTCGAGAAACTATCGATTGCGAAGAATTTCATGGAGCGGCTGGCTCGAAACAATTCGCCCATTTTCCCATATGCTTACACGGTTCTCGAGGCCGGCAGCAGGGCGTCTGGCCTGTCAATGCATCTCCCCTTGTAGAGATATTCTACGATCATCAGCGAGTCGCCAGCGTGATGCTTTCGTTCGCTATCAGAACACCGCAACCGATCCCGAGGACGAGCCATCGTCTCGCCGTCGACCTGGAGCCAGGTGGGCAAACCAGAAGGAATATCCTAGGAGTCAGAAGGTGACGCTCGATGTCGACTCGTTGGGAAGACCTGGGGAAATCGTTGTCGTACCGCATCGGACCCGCCGCCGTCGAAACCCCGAGATCAAACGCGACACATCCGATAAATCTGCCCTCCCATTCATGCTAGAAGATATCGAAATCAAAGATACTGTTCTAGAATCTGCTACCATCAATGAAAGCATACAAAGCCTTCGTGAACCTCATCGGCCGCACGACAAGTTGTCCGCCAACGATTGGGAAGACCTGCGCAATAGACTCCAATCATCCTTTACCTTTCAACAGCTGTCAGACTATATACAAGAAGCGAAGCACGAGGCTTTAGTCCAGAAGGATGGGGAACCACAAAGCGAGCACGCACCCACTGCTGTCTGGAGACCCGGAACTTCCATGTTTCTCGAAACCGGTCCAGTTTCGCGGGGAAGCTTTGCCGATAGGGTCGCCGTGACACAAGCGCTGAAAGGAAAGCAACTCCTTGCAGAGAGAATTCTACGAGACTCCTGGCAGCTAGGTGTTGCTGGCGAAGTTGGTCAAATCGACATCCGGCTCCCCGCGTACTCGTTGTCGCTGCTACTCAACTCTGAGCATTTCTCTTTCGAAGAATTGGCCAGCTTACACGACGCGAAGATTGACGTCACCCGTTCGTTGAGCCTCATCAGAGTAACTGGGACTCAGCACACATGTGAATCGATTCGCGAGATTATATACGATGCAACGAACAGAATTCGACAGGAAGATGTCGATCTACCTACGCCAAATAATGCCATGTCCAAGAGTGGCCGTATTCTTACTCCTGATTTTCTTGCATGGATCAGCAGGACCTATGGAGTTGCGTTCGAGCAGGAGCCCTCGCAGGGCGTTATTAAGATGTTCTATCTTGCGGAGAACAGAGAAGATGCGGACAATGCTCGGAGAACACTAAACCTAGCGATCTACAACACAACTTCTCCTGCGATACCCTTCGGCACTTACTTATCCGCGACCCAGTCGGCTAGTGTCTACAATGTAGACCCAGAGCAAAACGTCCCGTGGTTCGATCGGCAAAAGGTGTGGTTTCGGTGGGCAATGCCGTCTACCCAATCCTCCGAGGCGAAGATCCTGGACACCCCGTATTTCGATAAGCATCAATCGCTTTTGTCGGACGAGCTTCTCAAATTACTCAGAAAGTCATCGCCATCGTCAGAACGCGATGGTATCAGTGAGACCGTGATAGCCGCCGTTGGGCAGTGTCTGTTCTTACGCAAGCCTTCCTTCGAGATCCAGACTCTCAGCGCTTCTCAGCTGGGCAAATTGAATCTTCCTCGAACTTTCACTACAGATATTCCTCGAGTAACGTCGTTTATGCGTACGCTCAAGCCACGTCTGCTTGATGATGACCAACAGTTTCACCTCTTCCGGTTGATTCCAACCGCTGCCCATGCAAACATCTTTCCGCGACTGGAACTAGAGGTAACTCTGCCAGGATTACACCCTTCATCTGTCTCTGGTGCCCAAATTGGGATTCGTAGCGTGAAAGCTGAGTTGGCTGAGAGCAGTGTTGACTATCTGCTCCCCGAGAATGGCCTTGACCTTCGGTTTACCAGAAAGTTGTACCGCGATCTACTGCATGGACATTCTGAGAATGAGTCAGCCGCGAACATTACGGTGGAAAGCCTCCGGGAATACCTGCAGGGCGTCTTTTCTAGGTTTATGAACAGCGAAGGTGAAGCGCCTCTGCCTGTTTTTACTCATGTTCCGCTTCCCAATGATCTGTTGAAGGGAACTCTCAACAGAGAACCAGACAATTTGGGTAACCACACTACTGCCGAATACATGTTCATGCCAGTGAATGACCTTAGGGGCACGGGCATTCATCGCTATGATTTCAATGGCCAGCGGCTCAACTATGCTTTCTACGAGAGCGGGCCGTTTTATCCCTACCGAACGACGGAGATCTTCCTCGACATGGATCTCACTGAGGGTGACAGCTCCACAAGTCCTCCTGCAAAGGATGCTATGTCCCCTGATCCACTCCATCGTGGGTTCAACACGTTCTACGGTGCTGCTTGCTCTCTGGCATTTGACCTGGATAGGGCTTGGCGGATTGATTCGGTCTAAGAGATATCACTACTGTATTATATGTTTTCTATTGTATTATAATCATGAGACCTTGTTTGCATAGAATCCTCCTGCGTCAGACTGGACAATGTACATATGCCAACTCTACAAATGCGCTGGCTGGTTCACCATAGGAATATATATCTGCCTTGTCCGAGATCAAGTTGATGCAAGCTTTCTAACGCCAGACCAACCGAGAGCTGTAGCCATCGATACAGTCATGTATGTCCTCGAGGATATTCAAACAAAGAGTATGCTATGTGTCGCTCAGGTGCATGTGGTCAGTTGCCATCTGTAGCCCAAATAGGTAATCAGTCACAGACGCCAGGATTCATTAAGCTCAACAATTTTGGAGTCCATTCAACGATTTAAGATGCGGTCGAATATTAAAAAGAAGCTAATAGGAGGCATTGGAAGTCATTCAGACGCAATAATATGGTAATCACTGACTGTCAGATCATATCAACTCACTTTAATGCCCCGTAGGGCAGACACTTACCTACCTGCCTTGAGCGGTCGGTGGGCATTTGACGTAGCTAGCGAGGGGCTCCGCATCTGACCGAATCGGGCTTCGACTTCTTGTGGTTGGAGAGCTCTCCCACCTCGAGACTTTTGCGAAAATCTGCAATTTTGTCAATGACATCGCTATTCTGCCTTTGACCTTGACTCGCTGTGCTATCACAGACTAGGAGTATTACTCGACTCATCGCAGTCCTCCGACCGTCCTGAAATAGAGCTAGCTTGTCTGTCATACTAACCATGAAGATTATGCGGACACGGAAATAGCATAGGCATGGAGAGAACACGGATCGCTAAGGTTTGATCCATGACTACATACAATCCGAGTTGAGACAAAACGCATGGATCTGACTGTACTCCTCCTTCCCTCGACTCTCAGGTTGAAGATGTGACCTTGGCGCGTCGTGGTGAACAGGTCGTCGGCACGCTACACCTCACCCCTCACCATATTATCTTCTCCCACATACCCCAAGGAGCCGAGACTGCGCAAGCTCAGGGTACGCCGGTTCGACCGAGGGAGCTGTGGATAACATACCCTATCATCTCATTTTGTACATGCCGCCCAACCCCCGCCGCATCCCGCCAGCCGTCGTCGATTCGCTTGCGCTGTCGAGACTTTACTTTCGTTTGTTTTTACTTCGCCAGTGAGAGTAAAGCTCGCGATGTATATGAAAGCATAAAGCTCTGGACATGCAAAGTCGGCCGGATCGACAAACTCTATGCCTTCACTTATCAGCCGCCGCCGCCGGAGCGGGAATTCAACGGTTGGGAGTTGTACGATGCACGCAAAGAGTGGGCTAGGCAGGGCGTGGGCTGCGATGGCAACGACAACGGCTGGCGCATTTCCGAGGTAAATACGGACTACGGGGTAAACCTTTCCCTCCTGAGTAGCTTCATGATCGCTGTATTGACTTTGGATGTCTCAGTTTTCACCGACATACCCCGCTCTTCTACCGGTGCCGTCGTCCATTTCAGACAATACGCTCAACTACGCGGCTCGTTATCGGTCGAGAGCACGAGTACCTGTCCTGACGTATCGCCATCCCATCAACAACTGCTCGATCACGAGAAGCTCTCAGCCTCTAGTAGGTGTACGGCAGAACCGAAGCATCCAGGATGAGAAGCTATTGGCAGCAATATTCTCAACATCCCGTACAGACAGGCCACTGGCCAATTTCACCCCACCACATATGGAACATGACTCACTGAGCTCGACGCAAGGTGACGTTTCATCAAACCAGATGCTGACTGATTTGACAAACGCCGAGGAATTGGAAGACGAAATGCTGGAGTCGTTCCGTGGGGATCCAGAGGAAAGACCTCAGGTTTATGGTGCTCAGCAGCATAATCTAATTGTTGATGCACGGCCGACAGTCAATGCATTTGCTATGCAAGCCGTTGGTCTGGGATCAGAGAATATGGACAATTACAAGTTTGCTACGAAGGCCTACCTCGGCATTGACAACATTCACGTCATGCGGGACTCGCTCAACAAGGTTGTTGATGCGCTTAAAGACTCAGATGTCACGCCGTTAGGACCTAATAGGGATCAACTGGCACGAAGTGGATGGCTGAAACATATTGCTGGCATTCTGGATGGCGCCGGGTTGATAGCTCGTCAAGTCGGCTTACAGCACTCGCATGTGCTCATTCACTGCTCGGATGGATGGGATCGCACGGGCCAGTTGAGCGCTCTAAGTCAAATATGTCTTGATCCTTACTTTAGGACGATGGAAGGGTTTATGGTACTTGTGGAGAAGGACTGGCTTTCTTTTGGCCACATGTTCCGGCACAGAACGGGTCCTTTGAGCAGCGAAAAGTGGTTCCAGATTGAAAACGAAAGAATTGGGGGTGATTCCGGTCGTGGATTTGGAGAGAGTGGTGGTGCAAGCAAAGCCATAGAGAATGCTTTCCTCAGCGCAAAAGGATTCTTTAACAGAGACAACACGAGCCGCGACTCTCTCCCGGATTCGGAAGGGGAGATGCAAAATTGTGACTCCGACAGTCCCCGAAAGCCAGGTTCCGCCCCCAGAAGCGTTGTCTCCGAAAAGGAGGTAACCAAGGTGAAGGAAACAAGTCCGGTCTTTCATCAGTTCCTGGATGCGACCTACCAATTGTTATACCAATATCCGACACGATTCGAATTCAACGAGCGGTTTCTCAGGCGGCTGCTCTACCATCTCTACTCATGCCAATATGGTACATTCCTTTTCAATAGTGAAAAGGAGCGGGTGGAGATGAAGGCGAAGGAACGTACTCGGAGCGTGTGGGATTACTTCCTTGCCCGGAGAGAGCAATTTCTCAATCCCAAGTATGATCCTCAAATAGACGATCATAAGCGCGGCAAGGAACGCCTGATCTTCCCGCGAATCGATGAAGTCAGATGGTGGAGCGAAGCATTTGGTCGGACAGATGCGGAGATGAACGGAGTCCGCTCTACCAGCGTCACTCCCTCTGCCCGTCGTGGTAGTCCCGCCTCTGAGTCAACGCCGGTCTTGACGGGTATTGAGACAGCCCATCATGCTGTCGGAAGCGGAGCTCCTGGCAATGTAACCGGCAACGCTGTCCCGACCGGAATGGCAGCAGTGGCCTCAGGAATCTCAAATCTTAGTTTCTCAAAGGGAAAGGAGAACTCTCAGGAGCCGAAAAATCTGAGTCAGACGGAGCTTGAAATGCAATAGGAATAAAGCAGACAATGAACGATGATAAAGCACATAGCACTTGATTGCAGTTTCACGATTTGATGTATGTTATGTTATGCGACGGTTACAACAAAGGATCGGCCTAAGCTAGGTTTAGAACATGACGGATATTCCTACGGCAAGAGTTGAAGATTATTGCAAAGGCTGCTGGCGGGTAGGTGCCTCGATATAGCCTGAAAGAAGCTGTGGAAGGTGATGTACTCGGTAGATAGTCAGCAAACTGATGCCTGAGAGCCTGAACAGGATTAAGCTCTGAAAGCTAGATGTTTGGCCTATTCCTATTATGGGAAGGGGTCGGCGGAGTGCAAGCGAGGGTTGAGCCCTATCCCAGAAAGGAAGGACAAGCCCTATTCCCAGAAAATCCCCACTAACGCGGAATCTCTCAAATCTGGTCTGACGACTGCCGACCACTTCGCCCTCGAACGACTTCCCAACTTTGGTGCACCGCTACGGCCGTTTCTTCGACAACCTAGAAACCAACCAGCAGAAACGCAATCATGGCCGCTGTCCAGGGAGCTATTTCGAAGCGCCGCAAGTTCGTCGCCGACGGTGTCTTCTATGCCGAGTTGAACGAGTTCTTCCAGCGCGAGCTGGCTGAGGAGGGCTACTCTGGTGTTGAAGTTCGTGTCACTCCCACCGTCACCGACATCAGTACGTTCGCCCGATCATAAGTATTTTTTTCCGTTAGGTTATTGGGGATTTGAAGGAGGCCAGAAAAAATGGGAAAACCACGAAATTGGGGACGCAATGGGAGGAAGACAATTATCGCGAGGAATTACATGGGGAATAGTGTCATGATGCTAACGGATGCTCTTTTTTTTGCGCAGTCATCCGTGCCACCCACACTCAGGAGGTTCTCGGTGAGCAGGGTCGCCGCATCCGCGAGCTCACCTCCCTCATCCAGAAGCGCTTCAAGTTCCCCGAGAACTCCGTCTCCCTCTATGCCGCCAAGGTCCAGAACCGCGGTCTGTCCGCCGTCGCTCAGTGCGAGTCCCTCCGCTACAAGCTCCTCAACGGTCTGGCCGTCCGCAGAGCCTGCTACGGTGTCCTGAGATTCATCATGGAGAGCGGTGCCAAGGGTTGTGAGGTTGTCGTTTCCGGAAAGCTGCGTGCTGCCCGTGCCAAGTCCATGAAGTTCACGGTACGTCAATAGTGCTTTGGGGAATTTGCTCAAGGGAAAGAGGAACTATGGAGGAAGATGAATGGAGTGGTTTCGGGATACAGGGGGTGCAAGCAACGATACAGGAACCGTGTGACTGACTCTATCCTCTCTGTACAGGACGGTTTCATGATCCACTCCGGTCAGCCCGCCAAGGAGTTCATTGACAGCGCTACCCGTCACGTCCTTCTCCGCCAGGGTGTTCTTGGTATCAAGGTCAAGATCATGCGCGGCTCCGACCCCGAGGGCAAGGCCGGTCCTCAGAAGACCCTCCCTGACTCCGTCACCATCATCGAGCCCAAGGAGGAGCAGCCCGTCCTGCAGCCCATGAGCCAGGACTACGGCGCCAAGGCTCTCGCCGCTCAGCAGCTCGCCGAGCAGCAGCGACTTGCTGAGCAGCAGGCCGCTGAAGGCCAGGAGGGTGCCGGTGCGGAGGCTTACGCCCAGGAGTAATCTGGTTTCTTTTCTCTAAAATAGGCCCTGCTCTTCTTTTCTTCGTTCCTGTCCTACCTACCTACCTACTTCCTACCTCACGCAATAAAGAACACTACATGAACTTCAATTGTCTCCCCTTCCGACAATATTGTTCGCAACTGCCGGAGAATCTCTCTCGGCTTACAGCTCTCTCCTAGATCCCTAGTGAAAGACCTAGGTAGGATACCAAAAGTGATGCTTGAAATGAAATGAGATTGCGGAATGGGGAAGTCGTTCTCGTTGCGACTATTTGTAAGAGTACTACGGGATGGGCTTTGTCGACTCATTAAGCAGGCGGTCTTTCACTTAGACTTCTCTAGATTGTATCCTGGGTGGGTGCGTAGCGTCGTATAACACTGGTGTAATAGCAACTGCCCCTTTCAACTTTCTACCATCCAAAAATATCGACGTACGCCGTAAAGCCGGAGTCCGGCATTTCTTCTGGAACTTGCCAAGAATGTGTATGATCTCCACTCTAGAGATCAGATAATCTAAGAAAGAGGGCATTTTCTATGTCATATTCAAGGTACGTCGTGATTCTAATGCTGTAACTGCTTTGTGCCGAGGGTTATTTTCAGGGCATATATCTATAAGTTTTGCTAAAAAAAACCACTTCCACAGCTGCCTTGACAATCGCTTACAGGAAAGCCTCAATGTTGATCTCCAGCGTGCTCACGGGGTATTTCAGCTCGTACTTCTCCAATACTGTAGGGTGTAAGATACCGAAGGCACCGATGACGTGGTCCTTGCCAGCAATACGAAGGTGGATGGACGCCGCATGGCCCGGGAAGTAAGTGGGTTCTAAGACCGAGTTAGTACCCGATACATACACGTAGCGAAAAAGCATATAAGACTTACCGTCGAGCTCTTCAATCCAGTAATGCGAGTCGCCGACGGCTGGGTTTTCGAGACACTCCTCACCTGTGATGAAGGCGCTCTTGAGCATGGCCATGATGCGGTCGAGCAAGCCGTGCACAACTTCGAAGCCGCTCGTCTTGCCGTACCAGGCTGCAGCGAAGTGTCTCTCGTTGCGGCTTTTACGTTCCAAGGCCAGATCTTTGAAGGCGACATCGCTGCACTCGAAGATCTTGATGGGTACTGCGTGATGCTTGTTCTCACGAATGGTCTTGAGGAGACCAGGAAGCAGGGTTGTGCGGACAACTTGGAACTCTACGGTCTTAGGGTTTGCCAGTTTGACGGCGGTGTTGCCGTCATCCTTGCGGTTGAGCCAGGCGAAGTTCTCGTCGTGAGAACACAAGATGAGGGGTAAGACCTCTGTCCAGCCTGCCATTGCAGCTTCCATTCTGACAATATCGGAGAGCTTATTGATGGGTAGAGGCTGAGCAATCGTACCCGACTTGCTGGGGAAGGACCGTGGGAGCGAGTTGAAACCGTACGCAATGGCAACATCCTCCATGATATCTGCCTGGTGAAGCACGTCCGCGCGGGTGGGGGGAACATCCACGTCAATGAGGTCGGGCGAAGATGCAGACGGCCTTGCTTGGTATGCCATCTTGGTCAAGAGCTTGCAAATTTCCTCGGGAGAAAGCTCCAGTCCGCAGCACTGGTTGATGTAAGAGACCTCGGCCTGAGTGGTACGAGGTGCAATGTCAGGCTCGACTCTGGTCTCGTTATTGTGTTCAGAGACAATCTGGACAGGCTCAACACTGCGCAAGAATGAGTCAGTATCATGCGTACAAGGCGAAGCAGACCGTACATACGTGAAGGGCTCGGAGGTATATTGGGAGAACATCGTGACCATGATCTTGGTGACGATGTCGAGCTTTGTCTTGTCAAGAGCCGTAACCTCGATCAAGACATTCTTGGTGTCTAAAGTAATCTTTGAATGGTCACCGTTAATAATTGGCGGCAGGGAACAGACAGTCCTCTTGGAGTCGTAGATGACGGGGTAAACGGGGGAGTCGCGGATGATGTGGAGATATTTGCCCAGATGCTTGTCTTTCTGTTTATAGGGATAAGTATTAATTGCGATGAGCCATGGATGGTTTCAGTTCCATACCTCGTAGAAGGACATTAATTCCTCGCCGTTCAGTTCTTTCGTCTGGTTCAAAGGCACAAACTTGATGTCCTTTGGTGGCAGTGCCTCGTAGGTGAAGGGGCCCTGGATAGTGTCCAGGTCATGGGTACCGATCGACACAAGAGTTCTCTGTCTGGCAAGGTTCTGGTGGAGTTTGTCTTGCAGAGCAATGAAGGATTCATAGCGGGCTTTGTCGAATTTGATGTTGCGAAGAATAGCCCCGGAAACCAACGGCCTTACTTTCATGGTCTAGTTGAAGATTTGTTTAGTCCATATTGACGCGATACTGAATTCCCAACCACGCCCACTTACATCTTCCTTGACAATGATTTTCTCCAGCTGTCCATTGGCGGGCTCAACCAATCGGTAATTGGGAAGAGGCTTCCGGCCCAGGAAGATGTTGAGCATGAGCTGGATACCTTCGAAACATAGCAGATCATAACTGTAGAGAGACTCAGTATATACGCTTGAAGTGTTCAACGTTTGCCGAAAAGTATGCGTACCGGTTGGCGGGGATTTCGATCTTCAGCTGGGGTGGTTCCTGCTTGCCATCGACGATGGGTCTGTCCGAATTTGTGGTCTGTTTTTCTTAGCAATGTTCAATCGTGTTCCTCAAGGTGTTCGAGGGCGCATTACATCTTCATCGAGCTCAATACCTACAGGAAAAGCCGTCAGCGAGAAACCTAGCAAAGAAAGGTGAGGAATCAATGAGTCAAAACGTACCGAATTCGAAGCACAGCTCATCGAACTCCTCTGTCGTATATCTTGATGGTTCAATTAGTCACAAAATGGGTGAGGACAATGAATATAAGAGGAAAACATACTCCCGACCAAGCTCTTTAAAAAGCGCGGCCTTATCGACCGAGATGGTGGGCATGATGAGGGGCTTGTTCTTAGCAACTGTATAGAAGGAACGCCGCGATCAGACAACGATTGAATCCTACCAACGAACTGGTATGGAGTGATAATGAATGTCCGAGTGTTTCAACGCAAATTAACAGCGTTGGTAACTCCGCCGATGCTCTGTCTGTTCTCCAGTGTCGGGCAGATAATCGCAGTCATAGAACTTAAGTCCGTGGCACTTTTGTCTCTGTTGGGGCTTGACCCTCCGCCAATCAAGCCACAGATGAATTGCACCGCCACGATTTCACCCCTCCTGATTCCTTAGGGCCTCAGGCTCTGCCTTGGTTGTTTTTACCCCCACCAGCCACAGGAGCAGCTAGAACTAGTACTAGTGCCTCAGGTTCAGGTGAGCAACCAGCGACCGTCGCAGTTCGCCTTAATAAGAATAGTAGCCGTCTTGATACCAGCCTCTACAGACTCACTCGAGGCTATTCTCCTTTCTCAAGTTAGGAATTTTGATTACTCCATTACTGTTTGGCAACGAATTGCTGTTTCGCTGAGTTCAATCTCAATTGTCCAGGTAATTTTGCTACTCAAGTCAAGTGTCCTGCGGCGGCCCAAACCCCACGAAACCTCGCTCCGGGGTTTCTAACCATTATCCCTTCCTATACCACTAGAACTCTGCTATCAACAGCGACTAATATCAATCTAAGAGCAGGTGCTTGATCATTTCATCCTGTTCTCGACAGCTTCTCTGTGTCGACCACAAAATAACTTCCGGAGCCCCTGTTCAGTTCGCGTCATACCGGATTGATTTACCAACTTAATTCCAGTTCCTGCTGAGGCCTTGAACCTGCCCGCATCCCTGCCTCGTTAGCCTTTTTTTCACTCTTTCAATAGTACATTGAAAAGGATACAGAACTTCCCGCGATGGAGGGTCAGGGAGAAAATGATGAGCTCTACCCCATTGCCGTTCTCATTGATGAACTGAAGGTACAGTTGCTCTTTCACCCACGTCATCTCTTTCCAACACATACTGATAGTCGCGTGCGCCGTCTCCTTTAGCATGATGAGGTTACTCTTCGCATCAACGCTATACGCCGTCTTTCTACGATTGCATTGGCCTTAGGACCGGAGAGAACTCGGGACGAACTTATTCCTTTCCTCGATGGTTAGTTCGACCAAAGGCTGGGCATGACAAGACGTTAGATCTAATTTACGGTTTTCGCAGACTCTGTCGAGGACGAAGACGAAGTCCTAACCGCTCTGAGCGATGAGCTGGGCAGTTTCGTGGAATATGTTGGCGGTCCGGAATTTGGTCATGTACTCCTTTCTCCCCTGGAGAACTTGGCAGCCATTGAAGAGCCATTGGTGCGGGAGAAGGTAAAACTCAGCGTTTTGGGTGTGTCGTTTCTTTTGCTGACAGAAAGCTAGGCCGTCGAGTCGCTCAACAAGATCGGGGAGGAATTATCCGAGAAGCAGATCGAAGAATACTTCATCCCCATGGTTATTCGCCTCTCGAAAGCCGACTGGTTCACATCGAAAGTCTCAGCCACGGGTCTCTATTGCGTTCCCTACAGGAAATCACAACCGCCACTGCAGCAAAGTCTCCGCCAATATTTCGGAGGCCTTGTACATGACGAGACGCCGATGGTGCGACGACAGGCGGCAAATAACCTTGCCAAGTTTGTCAAGGAAATGCAGACACAAGTGATCATTGAAGAAATAATACCCTTGTTCCAATACTTGGCAAGTGACGATCAAGACAGCGTGCGCTTGTTGACTGTGGACATTCTCATCTCTATCGCCGAGGAAATCCCCAAGGAGCAACAACCCAGCCATGGTGTCCTGCTGACCTCCCTGCGCAATCTTTTCGAGGATAAGAGCTGGAGAGTGAGATACATGGTTGCTGATCGATACGAGAAGGTAATTCGCCCCTGGTGCGGCTTTGGTTATCCTATTTAGGCTGTGCTGATATTCCACGACAGATCGCTAAAGCTGTACACGAAGAGGTTGTTACTCGCGACATGGTGCCCTCATTTGTTAAGCTTCTGAAGGACACAGAGGCTGAAGTTCGGACTGCAATTGCGGGCCAGATTCCAGGTATGTAAAGCTTTTATGCAAACTAGGACTTGGTTAACTTGATGGCCAATAGGTTTCTGCAGCTTGATTGACCGGGAGACCTTGCTTAACGAGATTATGACGAGCGTGGAGGATCTTGTCTCGGATCCATCCCAGCATGTGCGAGCGGCGTTGGGTACTCAAATTAGCGGACTGGCCCCGATCCTCGGGAAAGAAGAGTCAGAGTGATACCGTTCTATTTGCTTGGACATGAATGCTGATGATATGCGTTTAGGACAATTGCCCATCTGCTCCCGATGTTCCTTCAGATGCTGAAAGACGAGTTCCCCGATGTTCGCCTGCATATCATTTCCAAGCTGGAATTGGTCAACAAAGGTAAGATCCAAGATACAACTTTGTCATTGGTTATATCTAATCGTTTCAGTCATCGGCATCGACCTCCTTTCGCAGTCGCTTCTCCCTGCCATTGTCCAGTTAGCTGAAGACAAACAATGGAGAGTTCGGCTTGCTATCATCGAGTACATCCCTCTTCTCGCTAGTCAGCTGGGTGTCAAATTTTTCGACGAACAGCTCAGCGACTTGTGCATGGGCTGGCTCGGTGACACTGTCTTCTCTATCAGAGAAGCTGCCACTCAAAATTTGAGAAAGCTCACAGAAGTCTTCGGAGTCGAATGGGCTCAGGGCTCTATCATCCCGAAGGTTATGGCCATGGGACAACATCCTAACTATCTCTACAGAATGACCACATGCTTTGCTATCTCGGTGAGTTTCCCTAGGCCTTTTCGAGTGCTGGGCGATTACTGACTATGATAGACTCTTGCGCCCGTTGTCTCGCTGGACATCATCGAAAACTCAATCCTTCCTATTCTAGACAGACTCGTGACGGATGAAATTCCCAATATCCGCTTCAATGTCGCCAAATCCTACGCTGTATTGATCGACACACTACGTCGCCTTCCCGCTGAAGGGACGCTATCCGAGCTCGAGAAAGCTGGGAAACCAGCGACCCCGTCACCTCGGAGTCAGGAGCTTATCCAGCAGAGAATCCTCCCCAGTCTAGAGAAGTTGCAGCAGGATGAAGATGTCGATGTCCGGTACTTTGCTACGACAGCCGCGGGCGGCCACGAGGAGGCCATGCAGACTTCACCCTAGGCTTAGTTGTTTGATTATGCTACTTCGTTGCATGCACCACTTCATGCCCACGTCCTAACGGAGCCTTTCAATAGGGGTAGCGGGAGTAAATATAGGACTTGCGCTTCTGTGGGGGGGCGGGTTGGAAACTTGACAATCTTGTCCACTTAGAGAAATGGTCAGGCCAACTGACTCACTGAATGAAATAATCCCATGGCGTCCATGAATTAGACTTTGTTCCACCGTGCGAAACTAGCAATAACCTGTAGCTGAGACCTGAGCAGAAACATTCTGGCATTGGATTTGGAAGTTGACGAGATATTTTAATAGATTAAAACAAAAAGGTGGCGAAAAAAAACGTCAGCGATAGGACTCGAACCTATGCGGCCGAAGCCAAGTGATTTCTAATCACTCCCCTTAACCACTCGGGCACACTGACTGAAAGTTATTTTGTTGTAGTTTTAATTTGGTCTGTGATCACGAGCTAAAAGCGTATTCTATTACATGCCGTCCTTGTCATATGGGAGGACTAAGATATGTTTGCAAAAGGCGATACTCTGTCTAGCATGACAGAATTTCGAATCAGGGACATCCAACATTAGAACTCACCAGTATTTTGAAGTATCGGTCGGAGAAAGCGAAACAATCCCCATTGCCGCCCTTGGTTTTATCGCCAATTTCCTCACTCATGGCTAGCATATACCAATTCGGAAACCATAATCACGTTCCACTTTTTTGACGCTATGTAACTGTTCTCTTCGTCAACTGGAGCAACATATCCCTGCCATTTGTCACATCTATGTCGGGTTCAGTATACTGTAGAGATACTGTCTTATCGCCTATAATATCTTACAAATGCTTCATCTAAAGCCCAGCCGCCTGCCTTCTGCATAGCAGGTAGTGCAGTGTAAGCTCCGGGCTTGTCCACTTTGATATAACCAGGCTAATAGAATCGTAAAATTGGCATTTTCTTCAACCCCAGTCAGTGTGCCCGAGTGGTTAAGGGGAGTGATTAGAAATCACTTGGCTTCGGCCGCATAGGTTCGAGTCCTATCGCTGACGGCTATTATTTTTTTTCGCCCCATTCTCTACGCCTTATGCCTGGCTTATCTAGATTACTGGGCAGCTTCTTCAATGTGCCTGTCAAACTTACCAGCGTGTAAATGAGTTTTGCTGATATTCCCGTGCCTTCTCCGCACTCGTGTCTAGTCAGGGTCCTGCCATCGGAACTGTCCAGCAACCGTACAGCCGGTATGTCGCTGCCGTGGTCCTGGCATTTTACAATTGTTTCTCCAGCCGAGCAGCAGTACCGCCGCGAACTACTTGATCTTCGGGGATACTACGCTCAACTTTCTGTCCTCATTTCCTTGGTCGCGTTCAGATGCTATAAGAGCTCTTTTTCGCGCGTGGAGTATGCAAGTGATTCTCGGCGAGCACACAGATCATGGTGGGAATCCGCCCCTTTTCGCGGCTGGTCGGAGACTCGGGCACAATATGTTGCTTGTTTAATTTGGCTTGGTTGGCTTTTGGGACTCTCCATGTGGAGGAGTGGTGAGGGTATGTACTTTCTTTTCTTGGTGTTCATCTGGACGTCCTTTATGCACAACCAACAATATCCCACGACGATTGGCAGAGCCGATAATTGAATACTGTATTGCTTGATTCATGATTGGACAAAAGCTGAGTGACAGCTTTTCTGCCAGATTACCTGCACCTAACCAAAGCGCTGGGCCATGTTGCGATCTCGCAGCTGCCATTCCAGGTGTTGATGTCTCCGGTCTGGTATATATCCGCATCCAGGCCGACATCACCGTCCGTTGTGTCGATCTTGACGACCATCCCACAATCCGCCTTGACGTGTTTCCACCGTCTCTTTGGCCGAGTAGTCCTCTCACCTTTGTTGATCACGCATGCCACTCTGTACTTGTCATTCTTCGTGCAATCGCCCCACCCGGATTTCGGCTCTTTGCTGGCCAAACGTATACGCGATTTGGATGTCCAGTGGGGATTGTGCGGAATCGTCATCACGATCTTCATCCTTCTCTTTGCACGGCCCCTGGGATCGACCAGTGGACTGTGGGCCATGAAAACAGCATCGATACATATGAGACGTCAGGTGTTTTATATTGCGCATGTTCTGCTGATCGCAGCATTGTGTCTTGCAGCATATTACCATGTTGCTCAGGCGCAAACATATGTTCTCCAGACACTGGGGGCTTTTGCACTTAACATAGCTTGCTGTTGGATGTTTTCACGATATGAGAAGCACTAGGTCACTATCTCGAGTCAATTACTACCCTCATTGGTACCATCCTTTGACAGGAAGAACCCAGGGAAGGCTGAAGATGAATTATTATATATATTCGCACTTTCACTGCCATACCCAATGTCACTACGCTAACCGAGGGACATTTGCAGAATCAACACCATTGCTGCAATAAAAAGTTTCCCATCATCAGGGCCACTGCAAACTTCCGTACCATTTAGACTATGTACTGCATTAAAATTAAGGCACCTTAAGGCAGCTAAAGGGTATAGTACGCGGGCAAACCTTTCCGCCATCAACGATAATCGTGGTTTACGAAAAGACCCCTTCTGAAATCACTTGCAGGGTCCTCTAATTCAGATTATTCTTCTCAAGCATGAGAAATGAATGCACGGAAATTAGCAACGGCCACTGGAGGAACGAATATGTCCTGTAGGTTCTTAATAACTAACTTAGTTAACTAGTTCATACCTTTTGAGTCAGCCTTCAAGTTTGAGCACCTGCGCCATCGATCCTTGGCACACCAAACCCTGGTCGGCACTTGAATGGTCTGGAATGCCCCCTAAGAGGCCTTGCAGAACCTTAAAAGTTCCTAGCGGTGGGTGCACTGGTGCAATTAGCGTGTTTTGTGGTCGGACGACATATTACGTATCTAGGTAGCTTTAATTAGATACGGATGACGGAGAACTTTGGGGTGTTTTGAAGAGAGTTTTGGTCCCACTATTTCCATGAATTCGCATCGAACAATCGGATTACTTGGTTGCTTGTCGTCTAACTGAGTTAGATTCCATATTCTTTGCCAATTACAATTTACCTTTCGCGATCTTCATCGTCCTCGCCCTTATTCTTTATTGCTTCTCCTTTTCACACTCGCACAACCCTTACATGACATTAACAACAAACATTCCTGTGACCACCCGGGATTGTCTCAATGCCCCCTCGGCATTAATTTCGCATAAATAACTAGAAGCCCCTCTCGATGGCAGTATGCGACTTCAGAGAATTGTGTTCTTATTGGGTGTCGTCGTCCTCGCAGGCTTATCGGTTGTCTTTCTGAGAAGAAGCCACCATGATTCCGACTTACCTCTAAATCAGTCTCCTCCAGCTATTCCACACTCTCCTTCAGTACATATTTCTAGCAATGCACAGCAACAGAAACATGAGCCAGAAAATTCTGCGACAACTCCCTTCCCCAGAGATCGACACCCAATCGCCACTCTAGTCGGAAATGCAGAGCAGGAATTTGAAAAGCTGCATTCGCGGCAGTCCAAGACTCTGACCGACGCTGTCAATGAATACCGTCGTCGATACCATATGCATCCCCCGCCGCATTTCGATAAATGGTTTCAGTTCGCTCAGTCGAGGGGCGTTCAATTGATCGATGAATACGACACGATTTACCACTCCTTGCTCCCTTTTTGGGCGATCGAACCAAAGGTGATTCGTGAACGTGTGCGCGAGGCGCTGGGATATGACAATGCTGTCATTGGAGTGCTCATCAGAAAGGGAAAGGTCACTCTGGTTGAAGGAGGTGGTGACGCACTCAAATGGCAGCGAGATGCTACTGTTGGGATGATGAGTGATTTTGTGGAGTTTCTGCCAGACATGGACCTCGTTTTCAACACCCACGATGAGCCTCGAGTCGTCATTCCGAGTGATGATCTGCGTAGGATGGTCAGTATTGCGAAGGACAGTGTCCTCCCGAGATCCTTCCAGAATCAATCGCCGAAAAACGCATGGTCGCCTCGGCCCAAAGATTTGAACAAGGGTGACCGGATTGATGAAGTGCGTACGACACGTTTCAACCGATATGCACATCAGCCCACATGGACCGACTCTCGAGCTTCCTGCCCGGTGGACAGCCCCGCCCGATCCCTGAACGAGGATGCGCCAGATAATGTCGGAGTCTACGAACGTGGTGATCCGGGCTTTATCTACAATACCACTGCCTTTTCGGACATCTGCAATACCCCGTCACTGAGGAGAACCTACGGCTTCTTTGATCGCCCAAATGCTTTTGACGTGGTTCACGATCTATTCCCAATTTTCTCGCAGAGCAAAATCTCCAGCTTTCAAGATATCCTCTACCCAAGTCCCTGGTACTGGGCTAACGTGGTTCCCTACGCGGAGGAAAATGATTACCCCTGGGATCAAAAGCAAGAAAAGATGTTCTGGAGGGGTTCCACAACCGGAGGTTTCTCTCGAGCTGGTGGCTGGCGGCGGCAGCACCGTCAAATTTTTGTCGGCAACATCAATAGCCTGGACAATGTCCAAGTTCTTGCTAAGACCACTGACGGTCAATGGCAAACCAAGGAAGTCAGTCGTGCGGATTATCGTGATCTGTTCGACGTCAAATTTACGTTCATCGGGCAATGTGACCCCAACGACTGTGATGCTCAGAGGGAATTCTTCGAGGTCGTGGATGCGGTTGGTCAGCAGGATGCATGGGCTTACAAGTATTTGGTCGATATCGACGGGAACGCATTCAGTGGCCGATATTACGCCTTTCTGCACAGCAACAGTCTAGTTTGCAAGGTGGCTATTTTTCGCGAATGGCACGACGAGTGGATCAAACCCTGGGTACACTACGTTCCTCTGAGTCTGGCGGGCGACGAGTACGTCGAGACGATGCGGTACTTTGTCACCGAAGATGAAGGGAAAAACACGGCGGCAAAGATTGCGGGAAAAGGCCGGGATTGGGCACTGAAAGCACTACGAAATGACGACATGGAAGTGTGGTTCTTCAGACTGTTATTAGAGTAAGCTTCTCCTCTCGGTTGCAATTTGCGACTCGCTAACATTGCCTTGACAGGTACGGACGCTTAGTAGACGATAACCGGGAGAATCTGGGATTCTTCCTTTGATCTGCTGCGGAGTTGGCGATAGTATCCTCCTCCCCTTCTTCTCTAAAATCGGTGTCATGGTTTTTGCTTCCTGAATCTTGCGCTTGCTCTGTACCAATACCCATTTGCGGAGTGATATCTCACATACCTGATTGCATTTCATAAGGTTGCCGGCGTTTATTGTATATTGTGTTTCTTTCGTCTGGTATGATATTCGTCTATGATGAAGGCGACTATTCTTGACGGTCCTTTTGCTGCAACAGGTCCCTGTCTTGTATATGTAACTTTGCAGCAGTCTTTGTAGCAACTGTATCTACCAATGGACCGTTCGTCCCCCAGGAGATTCAAGGCTTCCCCTTCGCCTACATGGAGAGGTTCTCTGCGTTTTGATTGTGAGAACTTGGCTTTTTTGGATGAACATATGTTCAATACCAGTAGCTAATCATATACGCTCTGCTCAAATATGGCATCCTGTAATTACTATCATGGTACTAGCTATAAGCTCGGGTTGAAAGTTGAGTTGAGTTGCATAAGTGTGTTGCCTTATGCATCAGGCAAGGAAGCATAATCACATGCGTTATGACGCATCATTTATATAGTGCTAGACAGCTTCCCCTCAGCTCCATCTACTGCTTAAGCTTATTTTTCGCCCCAAGCCAGTGCATTCCGTCTCTTTTTTTTTTCCCCCTTCGATTTATTCTGTTATTGCACTGAAGCTTACCATTAGAATTTTCCCTATGAGCAAAGTCACTGACCTGTTACGTTCCTTCTGAAATCACAACTCCTTTTTTTACTGTTAACGTCATTCTTTGAGCGGAGAGCAGGTCATCTGCCAGACTGCTAGCAACATGGCTGGCCGGCTTGCTAATAGCTTCAAATCTGCTGCGGTTTTTGCTTATGGGTTTCTGACTCTGATTCTGTATGGACTTCAGGCTGTGAAACTTGGACTTTTCTTCAAACGTCCCTCTGAGAAGGAGAACTTGGAGTTGCAGTTAGGTGAGTAGGCTCACATTGCAGGCATTTTGATCGCGGTAGAACTGACCCAATTTCTGTTGCAATGGAATAGCCCGCGACCGCTTCTGGAATCTCTCGAAGGAATGCTTCGGTCTTTCTCATCACATCCTCTCCCTGCGAGACGGATTCAAATTCCACTACCTTTGCAATGATTCCCCTGAGAACTCGGCGGCCTCCCAGAAACCACTAGCGATCTTCGTCCATGGCTTTCCTGATAGTTGGGCCGTGTGGCGATACATAGTGAGCTCCAGTTCCCTTCAATCTGCGGCTACACTGGTCGTCGTCGACTTACCGGGTTACGGAGGAAGCGATACTCTGGACAAATATTCGGCGACAAACGTCTTGGAGAGCTTGACAGAGTTTATCATTGCCATTAGAGCCAAGTACGGGATAGATACGGAGACTGGAAACAACCAGCGACGGACGATTATCGTAGGGCATGACTGGGGTTGCGTTATCTCCACGCGGCTTGCAGCTGAAGCTCCTCAGTTGGCTGACCGGTTTGTCGTCACCAATGGGCCGGTGGTACGTGTAGCAACTCACAATGGATGTTCGCTAGTGCATGGGTATTTGAGCTTCACTAACCAAATTCTCATTTCCAGCCCGGTCTGGCTGCAGCGAACATTCGTCGCCTTCTATCCTCCTCGTCGAAAATGTTCAAGACTTCGATTCGCTCACCAATCCGGTCGCGCTCGACTCTCATCAAAGCCGTCAGGTCCCTGTGGCCTGTGTTCCGGCAATTGAAGCGCTCGGGCTATATCTTTGTGATGCAATTGCCAATGGGCTTTGTTACATACTTCGGCAGCGGGGGCAACTTTTCCTTCCTAAAGGCGGTTCATCAGACCTCCCATGGTGATATCGACTTCACCGCTCGGGATGCTGCAGAATGTATGGCGAGCACTATGGGTCCGTCGACCGAAGAATGCAAGACACGGACTGCCGCAGGCGACGAGTATCCAGTTTCGGTGAAGGAGGAACGTGCGCTCTCTAACTTTCAGCACATGGTTGGCTACTACCGAGATGGGGCGGCATTGGGCCGCTGGTGCAAATCGGTCCAAACAATCGCCGACCTGCATAGCATTGCGGGAGGGAATGAGCTGCGGCGCATTAGTAGTGGAGTTGGTTTGTTCGATGACGGACCTACGGGAGCGTTGAAAGCAAGCTCCACGATCCTCTGGGGTAAGGCAGATGTTGCTCTCGACCCTCAGATTTGCCTTGATGGCATCTCAGACTACCTGGTTTACAATAGCGAGGTCGTCATGCTTCCACGCTCTCGTCACTTCACGCCATTGGAGCGCGAGAGCCGTGTGGCCATTGAGAAGACCGTGGAATGGGCTGTGAAGGGAGAACGAGAGGACATTGGTGCTGTTGTTCAGGCTTGTTACCCTGAAGCCGTCGTGACTGTTCGCAAGTAAGAACGTGCGTCGAGACGGATGTGGTAACTCGTGGGAGTTGACCTCCTTTTCTCTATTGCCTTCTATCCTTCCATTGATATTATTATTGTCTTTGCATTGTCCTATCGCAGACTTGCTGGTCGAGATTGTATGGACAACCTCAAGAGTTGACGTATCTGCGAAGTGTCACCTAGAAAGCGAGACATCCAAATGTAAGTTTACACATCAATATTTCATCCACCAATCATTACCATCATCCATTGCATTCTGTCTTTATGCCGGTGCGCACTGTGTGCGGAGTAACTGAGGTTGAAGTTTCTCCTCGTCTGTAGCACTGTCGGTGGTGGTCTTGCTCTAATATGGGGCTAAACATAAAACAAGGGAACTTTCCCCTCTCAAACGATGAATGCAAGGGTCATATCAATTGACTTCTGAGTCAGTTTGATTTGTTTCACCGGCCGGTTGAGAATAACAACCCCTTTACCAACCTCAACGATTATTAGTATGAATCTCTTTGGGGATCAAAGCGCTGATGGTGGCACGGGGGGCACGGCCTAAAGGCAGGGGTTGATGATACTAGAAAGTCTGAAGGCACCTTGATAAGAAGCAGTTATCTGTCGTTGACCCACTTAAGCAAGCCAGGAACGGTCCAGGTTAGCCCCAATCCGGCCAGAGCTGTCTTGGAGTAGCGCCTGTGTTGGGAGTACGAAGAAGACAGTTACTGGTCAGCTCATTGTTCTGGAGAAATTGTTAACGGAGTTGGCTTTTGTTTCTGGTTTCTTTATCCGTGACCATGTTTTATCCACTTACCCGCCAGCAGTCTCGGAGCAGCTACATCAGAGATTAGATAGATTCTCCTGGTTACTTGTTCTTACGCTGCCACTGTTTCTCTCAACTGCCCAATCTTTTCGATTTTCCTGCTGAGTGACCGTTCAAATGGTGTGTCTGTAACCTCTTTGGACGCGATGCAGCTCTTGTGGAAGCTGTCGCCCTGATCCACTTACTCGTGTCGCTGCTTATGCTGGCGGGCGGGGCTGGTTGGTTTGCTTTGACGTTACCCTTGACCGAGAGGGGACGAGAGGAGATCCCGTCTTGATCGCTATTACCTGTCGACCGTTTTGCCTTTCACTTTTCCTCCTTCGTTCTGGCATTTCTGTCTGTATCCTCCTTTCATAATCTTTACTTGACGTCTCATCCTGTTTATCCCTTCCCGATCTCTACGGAGTTCGAGCGGGATCAGGTACCGTCGAGATGGTACCTGATGGAAGCTCGGTTTATTGCACGGTATGTATTGAATCGCTTTCCCTGGGCAGCCAACGACGTCGAGAGCACTGTTAATCCAATTTTAGCTCCTATTGAGCGATAATTATTTGCCTGGTAGACAATTGCTCTATTGAACACCGTCAAATTGGTCTTTACTAAGCTAGTCCCTCTAGGTGCTGTGGTTCTCGCCCATTCATTGCGGGACAATGGCACGAAGGCCAAGCTCGTTGCTCTCTACACACCTGACACCTTGCAGTATGTCACTATCAAGGAGCTTCAGGTATGGCCCTACTACTTTACTCCATTACTTCAGACGTGTCCATGTGTTCGAACGGTCAAGGGTATTTCATCATAGCTATGCCGCTGACGAGGTCTTCTTAGACGGTATACGACGAGATCATACCCGTACAAACAGCAACGAATCACACTCCGGCAAACCTATGGCTGATGGATCGTCCGGATCTGATCGCAACATTCACCAAGATTGAACTCTGGCGACAGACGCAATTCAAAAAGATAGTATACATTGACTGTGATGTCGTGGCTGTAAGGGCTCCGGATGAACTCTTAACATTGGAGGAGGATTTCGCGGCCGCGCCTGATGTTGGCTGGCCGGATATTTTCAATAGCGGTGTCATGGTCCTTCGACCCAACTTGCAGGATTACTATGCGCTTAAGGCGCTCGCTGAGAGGGGCATTAGCTTTGACGGCGCGGACCAGGGGCTGCTGAACATGCATTTTCGGAATTGGCATAGGCTGAGCTTCACGTATAACTGCACTCCCAGCGCCAACTACCAGTACATCCCTGCCTATAAGCATTTCCAGAGCACCATTAGCCTGATTCACTTCATTGGAGCTCAGAAGCCCTGGAACTTGCCTAGACAAGTGTTACCCGTGGAATCACCATATAATCAGTTGCTGGGGAGGTGGTGGGCTATTTACGATAGGCATTATCGCCCTGTTGTAACGGTGAGTTTTGACCTTCTCTACTATGATGCATTCCCCTCAGCTACCTTTATTGCTCACTACGTTTCAGGTGCCCGTCCACTCCCTGCCAAGTAGGTTTGCCACAGTAGAGGGTGACATAACTACCTATCCGCAAGAGACTGTACCACAGCCGTCTTGCTCGCAGATTTCACACCCCCCTGGAGACCGACCTATGGCTGGTTCCTATGGGCAACTCTTAAAAGTACAGCATGATCAACACGTGGCTAGCTCTTCTGAGCAAGCGTTAGGAACGCATTATGAAACTTCATTCAAATCTGAGTCGCCATCGCTACAACCACATACAGTACGTAGTCATAGCCACGCCCAGGTCGAACAGGCTCCTCACGAGGAAGTCTTCTATGACCAGGGCAGTACTCCTCATGGGCTGGAGGTGTCGCACGTGGATCACGGGCAAGCAGTGCCAGAGGAACACCATCCGATCCAGAGTGAAGCAGCACCTGTCAGAAGTGCTGTCCCACAGTATGTTCGAGGAGAAGAACACGTATCCGCCTATGTGCTCCCGCATTCTAGCCAACCAGCGTTCACGATACAGAGCGAACACCCTACTCACCAGGCTACCAGCGCTCCACCCCCTCCGTCGGAACCTTCGGCTGCGAATGAGGTCTATCACGCACATCTAGAGCCAGAACCTGTCGTTGAGGACCAAAAGCAACCTCCGGCGCCGTCCGCTCCACCAGTCGAGGTCGAAACTTTTGAAGCACCTAAGGCCGAATGGGATGCAGTTCGGTAAGTTCTATCTTGATTCGCCGAGAGGACCATTCTAACTCAGTCTTCGTAGGGAACCGCCTCCTTTGAACAGCAAGCCGGAAGGGTTTGCATTGGCTGAAAGGACTTATACCATGTCGGATGATCAGCGACTCTTTCAACCGCCGGCATCTTATCCCGAGGCTCCAAAGAACATGTGGTACCAGGTCCCCGAGACAAAACCGGAGCCAGAAAAAATTACGCAAATATTCCCTTGGGAAAGTCGTGCACCCAAGCCCACGCGCGTTTTTCTGGAGGACCAGCCGAGTACAGTCTCTACGGAGTCAGCATCGTCCACCAGAGAAGAATACAGATCCTCCCTAGGGTCAAGGACCTCATGGACAGCTGAAGAGCCTTCTACCGCTACATGGGAGACATATTCTCGTTCAAATGCATGGGACGAAGTGCCAGAGATAAACAAGTACATCCAATCCATTCAACACGGCAGAAAAGCCAAAGTGCAAGTGATCTCCGGGGGTCCCAGCCCGGGAACCGAGCCCTCCAGCTGGCGAACAACCGATCATGGACCCATGGGCATGCGAGTCACGGATTTCCCAACGGAGGTAGAACGCCCCAGCCTTCCCGTGACGCCAGCGCCCATCAGGCGATCCTTCGCGCAAGCCTCGGGGGACGAAACTGCCGATGAACAGTTGCCGATCGCTGAAGGCGTACCAAAACAGGAGGACTGGGTGGGTCTCACGGTTGATGCGTTTTTGCACCTCCTTCGAGCGACATACTTATACTGGAAGTTTACAGAATCCGTTGGCACGCCTCGAAGAGCTTTGCCGGCGCCAGTCCGAAGTTTTGGAGAACGCCGATTTATTACTTAGGCGTGTCTGATATTCGTCCCGCATTCTCCTTCCCTCTGCTTTTTTGTCGTACGATATCAGTGCACTGATCTTTTTGAATTCTGTCGCTGGCGCTTTTTCCGTTCTGGGTCATCCGTGTCCTGCATTTCGCATATCATTCCATGACTGTACAGTACGTCTCAAGCATGTGCATTTACTTTCCCGGTATTTGATTGAGCCAAGCATGAGGAGCCAAGAATGTCTTTTGGCAGCATTCAACCAGTTGTTCATGTAATTGCGCCTGAGGTTGTCTATTGTGAACTCTTGTGGATCCTGCGCTTAATTCTAAGCAGGGATATGAGAAGGGAAAAGCGAGAAAGCCATCTCTGCTTCATGCAAATCACATTCATTAGCGAGTAAAGCTAGACGTAAGGCTAATATGGATATCTTGGGTAGCATACTCGAATCACCTCTCATGCAGGAAAACAAACGCAAAGGTATCTTGTACGTGCTGAGCAACTAGCTCAACATCAGAGAACAGCAGGCAGAAAGCGAAGCAGCCGAAACGCAGACCTGGACTAGCACCGTTCTCCTCTGACAGAGTAGAAATGGGATTGCTTCACGCGACTTGCTTTCCCAGTCTTTTCGTCGAACACGCAGAAACCATACGTTGCTGCATTTGGTGGGGTATAGACTGTCAAGTTGGTATGGTTAGCCGCAGCGCACAGCGAAGCAAACATATGTACCAGTTCAAGGGAAAATACGTACGGTGTAAGGAGACGGCGGGATTATGAGGGTCTGGGTTTGATATCTTATGGAGGCCCAGCTTGACAAGTTGTCAGTTTCGAATTATCATACGCCTGAGTGAAGTAGGCAGGAATTTACAGACCTTGTCAGACATGTAGGTTACCTGATTTTCGGTGTAGGTGGTTTCCTTGATGATTTGCGGCGATGAGGACTGCCCGTTTCGGAGCTTATCTTGATCAGGCCATGTATATAGAGTCTCTTGCAGAGAGCCTTTGAGGACCTAGGGTGTCGTCAGTTCAGCAATTTCGCCCCGACGAGGGTATAGGCGGGTAGCGAATGATACCTTCATGACACAATGTGCATTGGCATGATCATGTATTGCGCTCCCTTTGCCAGGGCTCCAGACCAATATTAACTGCCGGAGTACATTATTAGCATGCGACCCCTGACTCAGTATGGCGCGGTACATAT